AAAAAGGGTGCAATAAATTCAAAAAAGGGTGCAATAAATTCAATTCAATTCAATTCAATTACCTTTTTTTTCATGTCTCCCAAAATATTTCCCTTTTTTTAAAAAAACAACAACAGACTGTTGCTTTACAGAAATGCCCTGGCAGTGGTTCCAAACTAGACTCTTGATTCACAAGCAAGCAGTTACAAATTGCTCTATTACAGTGTTTCTCAACCTTGGCAACTTGAAGATGTCTGGACTTCAACTCCCAGAATTCCCCAGCCAGCATTCGCTGGCTGGGGAATTCTGGGAGTTGAAGTCCAGACATCTTTCTAGTTGTCAAGGTTGAGAAACACTGCTTTAGAGCAACGTTTAAAAGTCTTTCAACTTGTTTGGCACAAAAAAAAACAAACCCTGGAATATAGATTTACAAAGAATCACAAGAGGAGAGACCCTTCGGGGGATCCATGAAGATTTCAGAACAAATTCTTTTCCCGTATTTCTGCCGTGAAACCAAATACGAGCAGTTCCTCCCCCCTCCCGTCTTTTGGAAATAAATTACATCGCAAATCAGCCGTTCCTAAAACAAAAGGACAATCATCCACAGAAATTAAAATAAAAAATACGAGTCGAGGGGAAGACGGTGAAACAAACTTCGTCACGTCGAAAGGCAGTGAAAAATTCATCCGGAGGTCCAAGTGTCAGCATACGGAGTGTTACAAGACGGAAATAAGAATTTCCGTTAAATTTGCATTAGAAATCTCTTCCCCCTCCAGTTTCTGCATTTAGCAAGGGCTTTTCGGTGGCCTTGCAAACAATATTCAAGTCTTTTGGATTTGGAAAAAAAAAAAATACGACCCACCAACGGAGTTAAGAATGAACCCAGTTCATTTCTCGTCCTCCTGGCTCGACTGGCCAGAGAACGTCAAGTAAAGGAAATGGAAGGAAAACAAATAAGAGGGGGGAAAATAGGATAAGACTGAAGGCTTTTTCTCCTGGCTTGGTCCAAAATATAAAAAATAAATTGCAGAGAAAATTGAGAGAGAAAACAAACAAAAGGAGGATTGAGCGATCTGGATAGGTCGATTCACTCGCTGAGTTTTTTCTTCTTTCAACTGAATGTCGCCGAAGAGAAATGTCTGGATTTGCACAGAGGATATTCCCTCGCGGCTGATTTTCAACAACCGCCACCAGAACTAGGGAGAAAAATTTGGGATGAATGGAGTGACGATCCCACAAGTGTTCGTTGGCGTCGAAGCTTCCAAATGTACAAACTGCGTGAAGTTCAAAGAAGGAAGAACCGGGGGAATGGGGGGGGGGGGCAGGCTGTGTTTAAAGCAAATTTCTCGTTTAGAGAAGTTCTCCCGTTATGAAATTTCTCGTCACCTGGGAAATTCCGACCTTGAGAGATGGAACAAAATGTTAAAGTTCTTTTCTTTTTGGAAAAAAAAAAGTTCTATGTTCCTTTTTTGGAGTAAAGTTTTAAAGTTCTTTTTCTTTTTGGATAACAAGAATATCTCCCCCTAAATCGTCTGGATTTTGATGAGTTCAATCACATCACGGATTCTTTTTCGCAAGGTTTGTTATCCCCCAAATGGGTTGGACCGTTCTGCTTAATCAGCGGGGACCCCTCCTCGATCTCCTCTGCCTTGCTGGCCTCCACGGCCTCCGTCTTCACCTCCAGCAGGTCGTCGTTCACCGTATGGCCCAATTTCTTCTCCGAGTAGACCTGTAGAAGTCCCGCGCCGAAGGCATCGCCCTCCACGTTCAGGACGGTGCAGGTCCGGTCTCTGCAAGGGGGGAAGAGGAACCGGGTGTGAGAATACATGCAAAATAACCCCTTGGAGAGAAGCGGGGTGGTGGGGGTGGTTAGCCCCTCCCATTCAGGGCATCTTCACCTGCAAAACCAGGGCCAAAAAACTTCAGTGGTTAGGACAGGAGAGAAAGATCCCTCATGTGGGGTCCTTGATGCTTTCTCTGTTTGGTTACAGACGTTTCATGACCCAACTAGAGAACATCATCAGTGCTAGAAAAGGAGGGGTTTTTGCAGAGGGGGAGGAAGTGGGGGGTTTGCAGAGGGGGAGGAAGAGCCGAGGTGGCGCAGTGGTTAGGGTGCCAGTACTGCAGGCCACTTTAGCTGACTGTGATCTGCAGTTCGGCGGTTCAAATCTCACCAGGCTCAAGGTCGACTCAGCCTTCCATCCTTCCGAGGTGGGTGAAATGAGGACCCGGACTGTGGGGTCAAGTTGCTGACTTAATTTGCTAAAAAAATTTGTAACTGCTTAGAGAGGGCCCTATTAAGCGGTATAGAAGTCAAATAAATA